TACATGGTACGCACTGCCGCTACTTACCATTGAGGGTGGAGGAAGTGAATATTTGTGGAAGTGGTGTCAGTCAAAACATCAACTTTGTACTGGATGATATCAAGTTTTTTCAAAGTTCTTGGAACTGCACCCTTCTACCTAGATGAGCTCTTTGCATTGTTCTACATAGCTTTCTCGAGGAAGGAATTACGTGAGGTGAATGTGGGTGGCAAAGCTCTTTGACCTGGAGCAGGTAGGTAAAAGGTACCAAGGTGTCTTCAGTGAGTGAATAGGTTGCACAGAGGCATGCAGGGTTAGTGGTGAGGGAGATTGGAGTGGATGAGAGTGGGCAAGAGAAGATGTTGAAGGCAATAGTGAGAGCTGCTTCAGAATGCCAGTGCTTGACTGCGCGCACAATCGCCTTTCAAAGATGGCTCGGACACAGGGATGCCAGTCTTTTGGCGTATATCTGCTGAGTAGTGAGTTGTTTCAGGAATGATGCCTAGTAGGATGATGGGACCGGAACCAGAAGTGAAGGATGCCTTAGGGGCAGGATAAGTAATTAGTGAGGCATATTAGGTAACACATAATAAGAAATCACATTAGATATCATGGCAGAAAGTCTTCCAAAAGTTTGTCGAACTCACAAACAGTTAGCCAATAAAAGTTGATTCATCCATGGAGTCTTATTTCAACAGATTCTTTTGAAAGTTTAGTTTTCACAACACAATGGTCTGTGAAAGCTTAAGCCAGAATCTTAGTTGCCTATGAGGAACTGTATTGCTGGCTTATATCCTTAAGTGCTTCTGGCTGAGTACAGGTGGGGGCAGAAGCAATGTAAAGAGACGCATTAAATAAAATGCATTAAAAACTGGAAAAGATTATCAAGAAGAACCACAATAGTAATTTGATGACTTGTACTCAGCAGAAATTGCAGTTTTGACAGTGCCGAGGAGAATTCAGTACACCAAGGGTTCCAGTAATTTGTTTTATTTTCCATAATTGACTTCAAATTTCAGATTGCATAGGAACTGCAATATCCTGTTAAACTTAATTTGTGCTGCAACCCGCTGTATGCATCATTCCTGAAAGATTTCAGGCTCAGTGAAGCAGAAGAAAAGGCCATTACACTGTGTTTTTCTATTGTCATGAGACATTTCCTCAGGCCGTGTAGGACATGGAGTCTAAGCAAATCTACATTTTCTCTACAACAACATGTTTCACTGTATTGAAATCAAGCACATTTTACATTATGGACAAATATTCTCTGATCGCAAGTCAATTTGTAGCAGGAAGAATGAATATAACAGCTAGTGACACAAATCCATCAGACAGAGCAATGTTCTTTGAGGTACAGCCGAATACCACACCGCCAATCCCTTGGTGTCTGACTGAGGCCTAAGCTTCAATGCTATTAACATGGCATGTTGCAGCTAGGCACCTTGTTATAACATACCAGTTATGGCAATTGGCCATTCTGTCTCTGAGCCAAGTGATAGCTCACTTTGTGAAAGCATCCGTGAATTCAGGGCAGTTTTGAATCATATAGAGTGGACCAGAGATTTTTTGGGGAGTCTTTTGCTCCTGAAGCCATCATCAACGAAAAAGATTCCCTTGGCTGTTTCCTGTTAAGAATTTCTTGGTAAGTTGCTCAATACCTGGTAAAGATTAGCATGGTAATTCTGTGCACACTCCATCAATTATACCTAAAAGGTGCCATGTGTCGTACAGCTATACCCTGATTTCAGAATTTATGCAACTTCTTGGCATCAGGTGTTTTTGGCTGTTCCTGTATTAACAAAAAAGGCATGAGGAAAGCATGGGGGGATGTGTTTTGCATATCATTTGGATCAGTGAGGTGCCTCTTGGCTAACGACCCCAATCTAAACCCACCTCCCCTCTCCTCCGACTCTGATTTTCAATTCAAAACAGAAATTGCTGGTGAAACTCAGCAGGTCTGGCAGCATCTGTGGAGAGAGAGCAAAGTTAATGTTTTGGGTCCTGTGACTTTTCACCAGCTTTCTCCCCACAGATGCTACCAGACTTTCTGAATTTCACGATCAATTTCTGTTTTTGTTTCAGATCTCCATTATTCGCAGTTTTTTGTTTTATTTTACTGATTTTTCAATTGCTGGCCGTCTGTTTTTTATAGTGTGAGAAGTGATGCTAGACATTGAAGTTAACATGATACTCTTGTCACCTAATTTGGGAACACAGTAGCGTACTGGTAATGTCACTGGACAAGTAATCCAGAAACTCAGGCAAATGTTCTGGGGACATGCGCTTGAATCTCTCCCTATCAGTTGGTGAAATTTAAAATTAATAAGAAATCTGGAATAAAAAGCTGGTCAAATAGTAGGCATGTAGCCATTTTCGAATATCATAAAGACCCATCTGTTTCACTAATGTTCTTTAGGGAAAGAAAGCTGTAATCCTTACCCAATCTGGTCTATGTGTGATGTCAGAAGCGTAGAAATTAGATTAATTCTTAACCACTCTCTGGACAATTAGGGATGAGCAATAAATGCTGGCCTAGTCGGCTCTGTGCACATCTCATGAACAGATTTTTATAAAAGGTTTAGTTTCTGATCATTGAATTGCAGTCCTATAAGATCCATGCTCTCACAAGATCAGTACTAATGGTTAGGAGACAGAAAGAACTGCAGATGTTGGAAGGTAGAGTCAAAAAATGTGGAGTTGAAAAAGCACAGCAGGTCAGATAGCATCCAAGGAGCAGGAACGTCAATGTTTCGGGCTGAAACCCTTCAGCAGGACTCCTTGTTACTTTGCATTTGTATAGGTAGTAGCTCTGTTTTTCCTTTTCTAATTTTCCTGTGCTATATTCCACCCCTGGTCTTGGCTGGTAATTTTATATTCAATAGGCCAGAAACACTCCTCACTTGTACACTCGCTTGCTCTCCCACCTGTCTGCCTGCCTGCCCACCCATCTGAACAATAATCTCACCAGCTTTGAAGCCTTAACTACCATGCCCTATCTGTTTCCTTTTGAGATCAGTTATTTCCTATACCTACATTTTAAACAGCAGCATAACTAAAGTGTGTGCTGGAACAGCTTGAAGAATTAATAACACCCTTCATCTTCAGCATTCCAGTTTATAAGATTCCTAAGTCAGCTGAAAAATAAGTCCTCATGTGCCATCATTAGCAAGAAAGCATCCTTCATCCAAATTACCACAAAGTATTTTGGTGTATGTCCAATAGCAGCACAAACAACTGATGGTCACTATTTATCAGTTTGAAATATATTGTTCATGGTTGCCTCAAAAAAAAATTTTCCCGGCTTCGGAATGGAATTTCTGACTGTGATGTCTATAAAAACATAGATCTGAAATATGGCCCGGATGCCTCATTAATTTTTTAAGCAAAGATCATCTAAAGTCCTACTTAAAAGCTTTCTGTCTCTTTATATGCATTAACTCTAGGAGTATAGAATATCTTTGAAGTTTTCGGGAAACGTAGAATCTTTAAACATAAATCAAAATGTTTCTTTATAATGTTGTGCCAAAGTATTTCAGTAAGGATATGCAGCTCTGAGCATCAATCTCAATGTTCTCTGCCTAAATGAAATGTAAGCTTCATTTTTTTCCCCAAAATTTGATGCAGAAATCTTCAAATGGATTTACGGCTGTCTATTTTATGAAGTAGAATGCTTGCCAGCAAATTAAGGAAAGTTTTCATAATGTTTGCTTGAAGGATCATTTTTGTTTTCTCTGGCTTGTACAAATGTTAGCAGCAATAAATAGCTGCTAGAATGAGGAATGTAGAACAGTCCAAATGATTTGCCTCCAATGTTTTCTTTTCAAAATAGAATTGTCTTCATTGTTGCAATGCAGAGTCCCGGGACCTGAATATTTCTCTTCGTCCCTGTATTATCCCCAATGCCTAGTTTTGTTCTTTGTGGAGCAGGGATATAGCTGTGCATGTATGCATTTTGATTGACAATATTTTGAAATAATTTAAATGCATTTTCCTTTAATCCGTCAGTTTAATCCCAGTCTGCAACTTCAACTTTAGCCTTTCTGCTGATGTCATTGCTTGCTTTCTCTGTTAAATTTGCAGAATTCTACTGATAGAATTTCTAAGTATGTGACATGGGTATAGAATATTGTGGTTTGCTGATGGCAATGCGACAGAAGGATGTTAGATGCTCCTTGCTTTAAAAAATAATGAGGCAACTGAGCCATATTTCTCATCTATATTTCCATAGACATCTCCGTCAGCATTTCAATATTCAACCCAGAAAAATATCTTATGTGGCAACTATGAACAGTATATTTCAAACAGATAAACAGTGACTGTCACCTGTCTCTGCTGCTATTGAACATACACAAAAATAGTCATTTGTAATTTGAATGGACACCACTTTCAATGGCACATCTTCTATTAGAGCCTGAGCTCAAAATGCAGATCAACAGACCATCAATCGTGAGCTCTGAAGAAGCGTCACCGGACCCGAAATGTTAACTCGGTTTTTTCCTTCACAGATGCTGCCAGACCTGCTGAGCTTTTCCAGCAACTTTGTTTTTGTTCCTGATTTACAGCATCCACAGTTCTTTCGGTTTTTATCAATTGTGAAACCTTGGTTTTAACAAATTGAGCCAGTCAGTTGCATTTGTGACTTCCATTTCCTCTGAAATCGCCTAGCAAGCTATTCCATTGTAAAAACAAAAGAATGTACAACAAGAATAAGATAATAGTAGTTCAAGAAAGTCATTCATCACCCTCTATGAGCTACTGTGAACCAATAACAAAGACAGTCTTTCCAGCATCACTCTTTTTCAAGAACACTTTTTTTTAAATTTGGCAGTTAAAAAAAATGCCACGTTTGGGATTTGGATGTCTATTGTAAGATTAGCAATTATTGCCCATCTCTAATTGCCCTCAGGGTGACACTGATGAGCTTTCTTGAACTGCTGCTGTACATGTGAAATTTCGAAGTTGTTCATTTCGAAATGAACTCATTTAGATATGCTCATGTGTTCATAAACTGCTTGTTGCAGGTATTCATGGAGGACAACAGAATGGAGTGAATGTCGTGTTGATGTGCTACTCAGCCAGCAAGATAGAAGACGTGGAAATCAAACATCCCTCTGTGGAGGGGGAATTCAGACGCGGGAATTCTACTGTGTGCAGGCTAATGAAAACCTCTTATCTCATCAGAACAAACATAAGGAAAAGGAAGGTACTAGACCATGTTTGATTTGTAATGTGACCCACCGTGATTATCACCGACAGGCTAAATTTAAATGTCAGTTTGATTTGCTGTGATATCCCATTGCAGCTAAGCCTTTCTAGATAAAATAATTACATTTTTAACAATGATATTAATTATGTCAAACACCTTGACCACCTTACATTTTACCCTCAAGTTTGTGGATGACTCAGCATTAAACTCAAATTTGATGCAACTGTATGAGCAGGAAAGGCTTTATTGTATTAAAGGATGATGCATGCAGTTAATTTTCATTCTCTCTCTCCCTGATTGTTTTAAAAATCAAATTACGGATGCAGCCATGCAATAATCTTGTCAGTGGCTAGAGTCATAGAGACATAGAGTTAGGGTCATACAGCATGGAAACAGATCCTTCAGCCCAACTTGTCCATGCTGACCAAGCTTCCTAAACTGAACTAGTCCCATTTGTCATGTTTGACCTATATATCTCTAAATCTTTCCTATCCATGTACCCTGCCTTCAAGTTCAGTTAACATAATGTGACAGTGACAGCCCTTGATGCCAAGGCCACATTTAACCATGTGACATCAAGGATCCCTGGCAAAACTGGAGTCAGTGGGTATCAGAGGCAAATTCTCCACTGGTTGGAGTCATACCTGGCACATAGGAAGACAGTTGTGGTTGTTGGAGGTCGGTCATCTCAGCTCCAGGACATCTCCGCAAGACATCCTCAAGCTAGTATCCAAGGTCCAACCATCTCCAGCTTCTTCACCAATGATCTTCCCTCAATCATAAGGTCAGAATTGGGGATGTTCGCTGATGATTGCACAATGTTCAGCACCATTCACAACTCCTCAGATACTGATCCAGTCTAAGTTCAATGCAACAAGATCTGGATAATATCCAGGCTTAGGCTGACAAGTGACAAGTAACATTCATGCCACACAAATGCCAGGTGATGACCATCACCAGTAAGAAACAATCTAACCACCGCTCCTTGACATCCAATGGTGTTACCATCACTAAATCTCCCATTATCACATCCTGGAGCTATCTTTCACCAGGAACTCAACTGGACTCACCACATAAACACAATGATTACAAAATCAGATCAGAAGCTAGAAATATTGTAGTACATAACTCAACTACTGACTCCCCAAAGCCTATACATCAACTACAAGGCACAAGTCAGGAGTGTGATGGAATACTCCCCACTTGCCTGGATAGTGTGGCCCAAAAACACATGATCCAGGAGAAATCAGCCCGCTTGATTGGTACTACATCCACAAGCATTCACTCCCTCCAACATTGATGCTTGGTAGCAGCAGTGTGTGCTATCTACAAGATGCACTGCAGAAATTCAACAAAGTTCCTCAGACAGCCCCTTCCAAACCAACAATAACTTCCATTTAGAAGGACAAAGGAAACAGATACATGGGAACACCACCACCTTCACGTTCCCCTCCAAGCCACTCACAATCCTGACTTGGAAAAATACCATCATTCCTTCATTGTCGCTGGGACAAAATCTTGGAATTCCCTCCCTAGTGGCATTGCAGGTCAACCCATAGCGGGTGGACTGCATCGATTCAAAGAGGAAGCTCACCACCACCTTCTCAAGGGCAATTAGGGACAGGTAATGCTGGCCGGCCAGCAACGCCTGCAAAAATGACTTTTAAAAATGAGTCATTGTTTGGACTGCACCATGCCTGCAGCCTGGATACAGCTTATTGTCCACACTGATTTGGGTGGCTGCACAGAGCACTAGGTCAGTCTGAAAATGGTTTAAAGGATTCACTGTTTCCATTGGAAATCAAAGTCACATGGACGAGCAGCAGGGTCTATACTGAGAGTGTGATTTCTGGTGAATATTTTCTCCTGTCCATCCTCCTGCCACATGTCCTTAGCTGCTAATCTTCAGTGTAGTAGCTTTTAACCATATGGGATGGCTTGTGGAAAGGTGGGCAGATGGCGGGTTGAGGAGGTCAATGAACAAGCACAGGCTTAGGTTGAAGCAGATCTCCTGGAGTAGCTTTGCTGTTGCAGTTACCCTCCTGATTTTGAGTGGGAGGTTGATATTGCTCAGGACAGGGAGCCAAGGAAGTGAATTGATTGAAGAATAGCTGTGATAATGTTGAGTTGTTGAGTTCTGTTATGTTCTGATCCCTGCAGATGTTATTAGTAGATAAGTCAGATTCCAGTCAGAAACCTTGCTTGATAAAACCTTGCTTTTGGGTTATAACAAAGTGTTTTCTTGCTAAAATGTAAGCATTCAAAGGTGTGAGTTTTGCCTTAACTGCAAAATAAAGTTTGTTATGAAGGAATGTGGATAAAGTAGAATAATCCAAACCATCCAGTCATAATACAAGTTCAAGGTTGTTAATTACACAGTAAAAGTATAATTTTATTAATCCCAAAGCGCTCATTTAGAAATTGAAAAGAAACAAGTCAATATCCAAAATTGTACCTAAATCATCCCTGGTACAGTTCCCAAAACATTACTTGTATAATACTTGCACCATTATCGCAGTGTTTAACATTTTGGTAAATTTAAGCCATTTGTGACTTAAATATTTAAACTAGAACTGCAGGAAGGAGCTATCATACACCTCAACTTCAATGTGCTCATTTTAAATAATCACTCTGGGTGTTTATCCCAATACTTCTGAACTGAGACTAAAACTAACTTTTTACTCCAAGGTAATCTAATTCACTAAATCTGTCATTCCCTTCTCGGGGCCTGATCGCACATGCTTCTTCCTTGTCAAAAACCTCCTTGGTGTACACACAGGATATACTCTACATCTAGTTAGATCCACGATAGGATCTGGTGTTCTATCCCCTTGATAACAAAGAACATTGGCTGTGCCATGACCCCAGCTTATGTTATTAATAGAAAATAAGGCTCCCAGATTGAAACCTGGCTCGATAGCAATTTTTTTTGCTTTAAAAATGTGATCTTTAGCTGAAATATAGACACACAATGTTGCAGATTTTGGTTTTAACAATAAACAAGCTTGTTAGATAGAAGAAATGTAGATAACATAGAATGAACCAAAGTATTTACACGTAATGCATACTTAAAGAGATTGAAATGCATGGTAAAAGAATAATCACGTTAATCCCAAAAACACTCCTTTATAGAACTCAAAAGTTTTCCTTCACAGTATTCCCAGGAAAGAATCTCCTCTCCATCGTGTCTTTGAACTCAATTTACATGTGACTTCAACGCCCAGATTGAAGAACCTGATAGCCTCTTCCTGGAGCTTTCATTTAACACAGCTTAAACGTTATAAAAACCAAAAGATCTGCAGGTGCTGTAAATCAGGAACAAAAACAAAGTTGCTGGAAAAGCTCAGCAGGTCTGGCAGCATCTGTGAAGGAAAAAACAGAGTTAATGTTTCAGGTCTGGTGACCCTTCCTCAGAACATGCTTAAACTCTCTCAGTTTCAATGATCCATTTAAGCACTTCTGGTTTGAAACTAGGAGAAACTGCATTACACATCCAGCTTCAGCTAAGAACCCTGCAGAACTGCTCAAAACTGACACAAAAACTGAAAGGTTTCTCTCCAAACTATAGTTACTTCTCCTAAACTACAAACAAAGGTCCAGAATCTTCCATCAGAAAGCCTAAAACACTACACAGTATACTTTGTTTGCTTGTAAACTCTTTCAATATATAAAAAAAATTCAGTTCTTGAAGATCTTCTCTCTCAAATTGTTTTAAAAGAAATTGTCATGGCTACAGAAATACTTACGAGTTAACCATTAAACCTTTCAGATGCAGTGAAAACCCCATATGCCACCAGTTCAACATTCACAATTTCAAACTCAAATTTTACATGATATTACAATTTGTATAAATTAGACACATTGCATCATAACTAATAAGCATATTGGAATTTTAAATTTTCACCACATTTTCAGAGACCAGTTACTATAGCCATCTGCCAGGGTTTTGTCAGTATTTCCCTTTGCATTTGACCCTTGTAAAGAACCGAGCCAGCTAGGATCTGGCCATCAAGTTATTTTCAGATAAAATAAAAAAAAATGTGGATGCTGAAGATCTGAAACAAAAACTGAAATTGCTGGAGAGACTCAGCAGGTCTGGCCACATCTGTAGGAAGAAAGCAGAGTTAGCATTTTGAGTCCGGTAACACTTCATCAAGTTGTTTTAAGAACTCAGTGATGATATTCTCATAACCAGCAGCAGTGATGATACATACTGCTTTGCCCAATTCCAGGATGGTCCGGGGTTCAGGTTAAGGTCTGAGGTTTTGCTGCCTCTGGAAGTATCTCCACTTGATTCGGTTTTGCCTCTACTTTTATTTTTCATCTGTCTTATGAAGGAGATGGTTTGCTACCTCATTGACACTAACAGATGGGGAGTTTGTTGTTAATGCTCACTGGGCAACTCTGAAGTAGTATTGCACTCCCTAATAGTTCCCTCTTGGGCGAGTAATTTCCAAGTTCTTTGTCGTCTGTTTCTGTCTGGCCCAGCACAAACCAATGATTCAGTCAGATGTTCTGTCTCATCTGGCGTCACTGGAGGACTCATACTGGTGAAGTAGGGGCAGAACCCTCTCTGATGGAAACAAAACTATTAGACGTGTAAGGAATATTGTTGAATCTGAACACAATGATCACTGTGTCCTTCCAATACTAATATTCATAGAGACTAGTATGAGCTGAACTATAGTCCAGGAAAAAGCTTATTCAAATGTTATCCAACAAAATTTAACTTGTGCAAAGGTAAGATATTCTATTTGAATGCTTAGACTGTTCATGTGAATTCATTTATATGAAAATATAAAATTCTCTAAGGATTTTATTCTGTGAGAGGGCATTTCTTTTCCCTTTGTCACTCTCATGAAGAAATGGGCCACTTCAAATTCTACTGATGACAGGCATTGTCAAGTCTATGACTGATACACATTGCAAGAGGAATTATACTGTGCAAACGAAACCATGCAAAACATTTGCATCAAAATATAATTTCTGTTATCTTA